AAGTGGAAGGAGACAGCTTCTTCCTGGAGGAAGATGTGAGTACCTTGTTGTGGTCGCATCCCCCTATGGTGTCCGTCAACAAAAACAATCTAATGCGTTCATCCTTATGTTCACAGGAGGCGACACCCAGGAGCATAGCCCTTGCTAATGTGAAGAAGAAGAAGGCTAAGACAATGACGAAGGAAAAGAAATTAAAGAAAGTGAAGAAGCAAAAGTTGTAGCATTCTTTCTTCTTTCTTTTTTTATTGTTCATCTCGCTTGTCCTTAGTGCAAAGCACGCACGACGCTCAGCCGCTGGCGAAAGCACGCACGGCGGAGCGCCGCTGGCGAAAGCACGCACAGCTCAGCGCCGCTGGCGAAAGCACCCACAACGCACAGCCACTGGCGAAACCACGCAAGTGCATTTTTTGGTGATTTTTGGAGACATATACCGTTGGAAAGAGGATATCATGCTCTTTCAGAATATATGGATATCTCGAATTTTTCGAAAAATGCACTTGCGTGGTTTCGCCAGTGGCGCTCCGTCGTGCGTGCTTTCACCAGCGGCTGAGCTTCGTGCGTGCTTTGCATTAGGGGCGAGCGATCTGTGACTTTTTAATGTGACACTTGCAGGTGTGTGAATGTCTATTCGTACACTTCGGGGGGTACACGGTTAAATTTTCTACACGTTTACCCCCGGAAGTGTACGAATGGGTGTTCACACACCTGCAAGTGTGCGACATTCACACACTTGGGTTTCCAGTGTAAGAACACCAAGCTCCCTCTTCCAGACAGCGTTCACCGCCAGGATCAGAGAGCCGTCAGGGCTATGAAGCAGGAGCTTCTCATCCTCCGGTCTCTGGTCAGGGACAACGTGCTGAGGATGTCTGCAGCAATAAGCAAAGCTAGCACACATCGCGGCAAAGAGGCAGGTGAGTGTGCCCAGTCGCGATGCAGCCGACTTCTACTCTCTACCTTGGACGAGTTTGAGCTCAAAAGAACAGGTCGTTCTATTTCTAACAGCGTCACTAATAGCACCAACCTGTTTCCTGGTTCTCTGGAACACCGCACTGGGCTCCTCAAACAGGACATTCTAAATGTAGGAGCCCATGCGTTCGGACAGCACGACAGGTGCGCTCTTTACTTCTGTAAAGTCACCCAGGGCCAAGATGTTAGGAATTCAGCGAAAAATAAAACGAACAAGAAAACAAAAGCGGTCAAAAGCAAAACCTTTTAATTGCTCTGTACAATTAGTTAACCGCCTCCAACCCCGCTCCGCCACCCCCAGCCACTCTACCAGCCATGCCGTCGACTTCCACAGACTTCCCCAGAGGAGAGCTGGGTGAAGCGTCTGGAGGAGGCTGGCGTCTAGAAAGAAAAAATGCGTTTCTTGCACAAGATGGCGGACCGCTCTTGCAGTTTAATTCACAATGTAAATAATAACATCTGTAAAATTGCCAACAGCGTGACAACAAAGTTCAAAACGGAAAGAGGATTTTTTATTCTGGCCGCGACTCCTTTAACACGAGGTGTGGTATGGCAGTAGGTGAGTGTAGGCCATGAACTCGTCGGGACAGTTCCGACGTGTCACCCAGAAACACATGCAGGATGGATAAAGTCCGGGTAAGTCTCAAATCTGTAGGAGACAGGCGCAGTATAAGAGGGGGGGGGGGCGATCGCCCTCTATGCAACTTCGCACCTCTACCAAACCAGAGCATTTTAATAGTCCCTTCCCCGTTACCACTGCCAAACTTCAATGGCTCGATGCAGGGGTGGGTAATACCTAGGTAGTACAGTACCTAGGTAGTACCTAGGTCAAACCTAGGTACTTTTCTCGCTACCTTACCTAGGTACTGATAATTCGACTCTACCTTACCGATACCTAGGTACTTTTTGGAATACCTATACCGTCTTTTTGTGGGTACTTTCCAAGGTACTTTCAAACCTATACCCACCAGATGAAAGCGTCAAATAAGCGTCACCACCAAACTATATTTTTCGGGAGGGCTTTGTTTTGGCACCACAGTGTTGTGAAGGGAGCAAGGAGGGAGTAAAAGTATGGAGAATTCGTTCTGGCTGCCCCGGGTCAACCTCCTTCCTCGGATAGACAAAGGAGGACC